GGCGGGGTGATAGCCGGGGCCTTCTGCGAATTGAGGGTGAGAAATGGAAAAAGAGGGTTAGAAAGTCGTTTCCATTCTGCTGAACTTTTGTTTTCTGACCGATAGAGGCCGGTAGAGGACTGTGGAGAAGGAAAGTTTATAACCAGCAGCACCAGGATGGACTTCCCTGCTACCCAACCAAAACCTGCTGCCGATGGAAAAATCATCTACTATCCTCCTGGCGTGAAGGAGATTACGGACAAAATTACCAACGATGAGGTGGTTAAACGGTTAAAGGTGAGCAATCCTGACCACGATCCCCTTCCCTGCAACTTTTGCTTCTTAAGGTAAACATTTCATTATGGGAGAGGAGAACTGCCAGAGTTCCCTTGTCATAGTTGAAATGTGTCCTTCTTGCCTGCAGACCAGTATGGGAGTACCACTTCCTTGCTTTTCCTTAAAAAAGGGGGAGTCATTTTTGTATTTTGTGACTGTGCTCTTGCAAGTTCTCTCACAGTCAGAGTTGATACGTTAAACTGCTAATTTATATGTGAAATGCATCTACGGTGTTGGGGGGAGGTTTGAAGCAGGGTCATAAGTCACAATTGCAGGATATGATGCCGAAAATTTTTGTTGGTAAACTAGGTGTTTGTGTGCTCCAGCACTTTGAGCAAGCACAGTTGGGTGGGTGAAACAAGTAGATCTAGTTAAGGGTATTCTTAGCTGAAAAGACAGCGCTGTTGACAAACAGCAAAGATTGATTTCTGGAGTTTGTAGAAGAAATTTTGAAATTGTTTTGTATGTAAAACCTGCCTCAGATTTTGCAATTTGGTATAGTTCATATTGTTTCTTTCCTATTCTGTATAACTGGTACTTGGCAAAGTTTCTAAATTTTCATAAGCAAAGGGAACTGTTATAAAAGCATCTTCTCTGCTTGTTTGACAGTTTACTGGGGGACTGTGAGGCTTATCTCTGTTTTTTTGGTTTTTATCCCTTTTTCCACTGGAAACATGAAATGCTGCTGTGGTACAGTAGTATTATTTCTTAACTCTGTGCTGAAAATAGAAAATAAAGTTGAGCATTGATCAAATATTGGCACGGCTCGTTTGGTAATGCCATGGTCTTTGGACCAGAAAGTTGTTGTAACCTGGGATTTGGTCCTATGCCCAGGGTGGAGATTTAGTAATAATTTTTTAGGGATCAGAAATATTCTCTCATTTGATGACCTGTTTCCCATCACAACAGTGGCCCTACAAAGACTGAAAAGTAAAAATCACGATCTTGCCTACGTTGAGAAATGTCTTACCTAGAAATGTGAAGAGAAGAAGCTTTGTGCTTTGCTTTCAAAACAGCAAGGCACATGTCAGTTTTTTCTTTGAAAATGAGCCTTGTTGTCCAGTTAGTTTTGAAAATTTTTGAATGGACAAGTCCAGCCTAGTATTTTCAAAACTCCAGTGGAACATTGCTAGTTACAGGAGAAGATCCCAGAGTTTTGATTGTTCGGACAGAGACCTTGAATCAAAGTCTGTGTGGAATGGGGTGGAGTGCGGTTTTGAGGTGCTTTTCAAAATGGGTATTTTATTTTGTCTTAGTTGGAGAGCTTGCAGTGGTGAGCTGTGCCATTCCTCGATAATAGGAATAATAGAATTTCAAAGTCATGCATATATGTTTTGCTGAATTCACATGTGTATGTTGGACATAATTTTCAGGCTCAGACCAGATTTTTTTCTGTCATTTTATAATGAGCTACTGTTAAGGAATTCAGATGACCTCAAGACTGTATACTGACTTTAAATGGGAACAAATACTTTGCTAGTGGACCTTCCATCACTGAAACAACAGAGGAAGATTTTTCTTGTTGGTACTGCCTAATCTGAGTTTGAGGAATTTTTTTTGAGTCAAGTACTACCTTTACTAAAATATAAAGAAAAACAGAAGTACTGTATACAAGTATTTTCTTCTTTATGTTTTTGTCTAGGGAAATATATATATAATCTCCATTTATGAAATCCATGCTTCTTGATATCACGTTGATTTACAAAAGCACATTCTCTTTGGCATGTGGAATATTACGATGATGCAGTGCTTGGGATGGAAGTGCTTGAAAAGGTTTTGTTCAATTAAAAGATAAATTTTCACAACTTTAAAAATGACTTAATGATAAAAGCCAGCTTTAGCAGAATGTACAAATTCAGGCATTAAACAATCCTTGAAACTGTGGGTTTTTACCTTCTTGGCCACATATGATCTAAAGATGCTCTGTGTGTCTCTTACAAAAAAGATGTGTGTAACTTGGTGTTTTGGCCACCAGGCTTTCGGTGAGTCCTTGTGAATTTTTCTTCTTTTAGCTTATTGAAGTCATAGTCAACTTAATAATTGGTTACAAATTTGTGTCCTTATTAGCAACTTTTCTGATATCACATCTGTATTTTTGTGTCCAGACCTCTTCTCATAATGAAGGCTTTTCTTATTATTGGAACTTGAGACGTTCTGGGCACCTGTCCCAGAGAGCCTGAGCAGCAGCTTTTGTGCCAAGGACTTTCAAAAAGAATGTTTCTCTATCCTTTCCCTCCTTCTGCTTGGGGTTGTGGGTAATAAAGTGTAGGCCAGATTCATTTGCAGTGTTTTGATATATCTGTATGATAACATTAACACTGTCCTGAAAATACAAGTATTGAGAATTTTAAAATCAACATGTACTCTCTGAGTGACATAGAAAGGAAAAGCCTCTGAATTGCATATGCATGATAAATGAAACACCAGTTCAGGTGCTTAATGGAGTCAAAGGTGGTTTCTGGTGTGTTAGATTACAGTGTTAGGTCAGTGTTGTCTTGGAGTGGGACAGTATGTGATGTATAATTTTGATTATTGAAGAAATGATTTTTAACTGTGGTGTGGGATGGCTAGGAACAAGTGTCCATTGAATAGATCCATTCAAGTGTAACCAAACTAGGCAACTAGCATGTAGCAGAGTTGAGGCTTACTGTACTTTGTCTGCATGGGGGGTTTTTAGTTGTTTTTGTTTGTTTGGTTGGGTTTTTTGCTACTTTTCATTTTTACAGTGCATCTGTTCAAGTTATATAGTGATTGGTTTCAGGGCTGTAACTCAAATGCTTGTCAATTTAGTAAGGCTTGTGGGGGGAGGTATTAACTTTTATTTAGCTAAGCAATAGAAGTGGAAAACAAGAAACAATTCTAAGTCACCCAGGTAGGCTCATCTTCAGTTCCAAAATCAAGCCAGCAACTAAATACAAGTTGAGAACAGATATACTAGCAATATTATATTTCTTCCTGTAAGATAGTTGAAGGTTGAAAGAAGTTTTAGAAACTCATCATCTGCTTTTAGAAGTTTTAGAAACTCAGCATCGAGAAGTTACAAAGCTTCTTGATGACTACTGAATTTTTTTCAAAATTGACTGTATTGTACTGCCTTGTCAAACTTCAGACTGGTATGTTGTCACTGAACTATTAAATCTCAGATGTAACTAACTTTTGTCCCAAGAGAATATTTTAATGTTATTTTTATATAACCTGGTCATAGTTGTGAGTAAGATTAATAGTAGTGTACTTAATTGTCAGATACGCTAAAAAAGCCCCATCAATCCAAAGTGCATAGAGTGTCTCAGAGACTGACTTAAACAGCCTTTGTAGGCAAAGCCAGAACTGCCATGGAAAGAGGTGTCTCTCTGTGCTTTGTGTCCCAGCCTCTGTTCTGTACCCTCTCTATAAGCATTTTGTTTTGCTGCATGCCAAAATGGATGGGTGAACAGATCTAGGTTTAACCTTAGGAGAAAAAAATCCCTCAAACCTGTGTTAGTTTTAGCCTGAATCATTTTCTTACCTGATTTATCACGAGAGCTCACTAACACTTGTGCTGGCGTAGGGGAAAAATCAACCTCTTTCTGTGGCAGTCTTGCCCTAGAGCATTGAAGGAACTCCAGAGTCGGTTTGAATGTGGAAGTTTGCAGATGTTATCTTTTGAGACAGTTTTGCTGAAACAGTGCAAAAGTCCCTATCTGCATCTCACCTCCTAGATTTTTTTTGAAGTAAAAGAAATAGTGCTCAATGATGAGTTGAGATAAACCTTTGTACCAACAAGTGTAGAGTTTGGTAAAGTTATGACAAGTCTAGAGAAACAGAAAACATTTATAGTGCCATGTTTTATTTTACCTACAGGTATCAGTGTAAGCAACACTAATTCATAAAATCTGTGAAGTGTGTTTAGTCAAACACTAAAGATACAAAAGTACAAAAAAAAAAAAAAAGTTTCTGAAACCTTCCAAAGGAAAACGAGTGATAAATTAGTTTCAGCACAGAGATTTTTAACAAAGGTCGAAGGCAGTGTAAAAACCTGTCTTTGTGAAATTAAGAGGTTTATAGGTTAGAATTTATAGAGGGCGATGTAGTTCTCCTTTATCATAGCTTGGGTTAGTATTCTCTTTTCTGAGGGTTTTTTTTGTTTGTTTGTTTCTATATGGAGTGATTTTTCCTTTTGCTTTTCAATCAATCCAGTAGTCTTGTTGCTTTTTCCACGGTGGTGGTCTGGCAAGGCATTTTCTGCGAGATTTTCTTTTGATTTCCATACTCACACCCACCCTTCCACCCTCTCCCCGATTCTCCCCCTGCCACCCTACCCTAAAGCCTAGCTTGTGATCCTCTGGAAAAGTTAACACTCCTAGTGTGCCTTAAAGTCTTCCTTATCTTGTCCCCTGGCATTTCTTAGTTATCTGATATGCATTTGTGCCAGAGTGAAACAAACACTCCCTCTCATTCCCATTGTCTTTCTGCAGGTTCCTCTGGTTATTGGACCTTGGTTTCTTTGTAGTTCAGCCTGTTGTGTCTTTATCTTTGGAAGATTATCCTCCTATCACTAGAAATAGTTAATGCTAATAGTTTATCATATTAGGCACAGGTGGTTTTTAGGCATATGTTACAGAATGTTAAAATGGAGAAAGGTTGCTTTTTTGCCACTTAAATGTTTTGGAGTAGGCTGCAGGTATTTGAGAAGAAAAAAAAGTTGCTCTTTACTCACCCTGATACTTCTGCAGAAGTTAATAGCCACTCTCTGAGACTGTGTAGTTAGATGGACCTTTGATCTGACCTGGCTATGCTTAGGTAGTTATTTTGAAGGAAACTAGAAAAAAGTATAAATTAGAGTATCATCTGGTAGAAGAAAATCTACTTTATATTGTTTCATACACTAGAATTTGTATGTTTGGGGGGAAAAGGTATACATATTAAGTATGTTGGATTGTATTAATTAATAAATACTATTTACTGGCAAGATTTAGATGGCA